GAAGCAGTATAAAACGGCATGAGGAACCGTGGATCTAATAATATCAGGTTTGATGAAGTGAGTTTTGAGATTCAGGGGGTGCAAATAGGCCCAACCTTGAGCAAAACTAAAACTTTTAAGCTGGTCCATAGAGCTCTCACCTAAGCATGCTTGACTGCAGAATTAGAATTGAATACAATGAGTGCAGCTATTGTCCCACCCTCTTGGCTCACATTAGCATAACAGAATTTCCACTTAATTGCAAAGTTAGGATTCAATCATAGCACATAAAACACTTCTGAAGGTCTTTCTATTATCCCCCATATGTGTTTCATACTACTCACACTCCCACATCTATCCCTATTGCTGAATTTCGATAGAAAAAAGGAACAATTTCAACCTAAGACACGGTAGGATGTTATTTGCAAACTGAAGGTGAATTTCACAAGGATCTACAAAAAGATCATGAACCCATCTGGGAAAACAAGTAGAACATTTATGTATGGTGACAACATTTTTCCTGTTTTGAAGGCAGGATAATGAGAAGGGACAGAATGGTTGACATTTATGTAAGATGACAACATTTTTCTGTTTTGAAGGCGGGATAATGAGAAGGGCCAAACTTATTACCTGCCAAGAGTCTATAAAATGACAACCAGAATGAATGTGTCCAATTCAAGGGGTGTTCCCATGGCAGTTCAAAGATCATCATTGATAACATGCTGCATAACCTGGACTAATTGAGAGCTGCTAAGCTGTATTCAGCATATTCAAAACTCATGTCTTCTAGTCTATGTTTTCTTGTTCTTCGCCGTCATTATGTATCAGTCGAATATTCTCATAAGCTTAGTCAAGCCTAAGTATTAAATCAAGCTAGATTTGGTTATGGGAAGCTTCCCACAATTTCTATCACCTAACAGGAAGCTTCCTCTTTGGCTTCTTCTTCTCTTTTTCATTACATAGGCAAAGCTGGACTAAACAAAGTTTAATGAAGTAAAACGGTTGGATCTTGAGTAGTTTTAGAAATGATCAAGCAACTAGGCATTTACCCTGATATAGGCAGCAAAGCCAGAGGTACTACCGTATATTCAAATTGTGTTCCTCCTGGTCATCGTCTCTTCAGATTCCACTTCATTTCTGAGAAAAAATATAGAGGAAATTTTCTCCTGTAAGGACTAATAGCTTCTTTTTCAATATTTTCTAGATCTTCTCTACAAGAATTATACTCGTCAACCATCAATTCACTATCACTATGGATGCTTTGATTGGAGTTTTCATCTACTGTGCCAAAGTAATCTTCTCTTATTCTATGATGGCAAATCCAAGTTTTTTTCACTGGTTTTTTCCTCCCTATTGTTATTTGAATGTATCACTATTCAATGAGAGGATACTTGAATAAGGTAGGTTCATGCTTATGTGTTCAATTAGCTGCTTCTCTTCATGGGCACCATATCTTACATAATTTGAGGAAGTGCCTAGGTATGCTGTAATAAAAGCAGTTAGGATATAAGCTTGTTATGTCAGTTCCAACTAGTGGCATAGCTTGGTATATATTGAGGAACATCATGTACATTACTCATCAATTTATGTATTTTGATACCAATTGGTATAAAACCATTTTCATTACTTCTGAAACACAACTTGATGTTTTCGCCATGAAGAAAGACCTTCATAGATTTTCGTTGATTGTTTCTATTGGCTTCATTTATGGTTCATGTCAAACCCTAGTACTTTGCTATTTTGCCATTTCATAACGAATAACATAACATGACCAAATGATTCAGTGTAGACCTGACATATGACAATTAGTATAGAATGTTAGTCCTATTTTATAGGTGGAAATAGTTATAACTAGTGTTCTTGGCATAATCTCTCTTACAATAAGGGAACCATTGTAGAATTGACTTCTATATATCTTTGAAGAGAAGTTGTAATGTTGTAGAATATGTGTAGTGGTCTTCTTTGTCATTTTGTTTTTTAGAACCCTACTTCATGGTTGATATTTCAGAATAATTCTTGAAATTCTTATTTCAGTTAATGATATTGTTCCCGGACTCGGGACAGGTTTCAGGTTTAGCCTACCTTTCCAAAGGTCTAACAGGGTAAGAATTTTCTGCCACTTTCTTGCCTTCATGCGCATATATGATATGGTGTGCTTGATAAGCTCAGGATGTTATATCCATATATTTACTTTTTCATATGTGTTACCTACATTTCGTGTTATCCATTTATTTGAATCAAACTTCATTCATGTACAGTGGTGATTGTGATAACAGGTGGAACTGCAATACTTGCATGACTTTATTGGGATTACTGCCGGCATCGGTTTGACTTCAAAACCCCTCTTGCATTTCTCGGGAGTAGTTGGAGAAAGTTTATTCTCCATTGGGACTGACCTCTCCTTTGATAGCGCAACAGGGAAATTCGCTAAATGCAACGCTGGTTTCAGTTTCAACAGCTCCATCCTCATCGCCTCCTTAACATTGTAAGAGAGCCACATTCTGGCCCATTGGCATGTGTTTGGCACAAACCTTACAGCTTACTACTATTCATCAAAGTTTTCGGATAACCTCTCCATAAGTTCATGTCATACTGCCCTTTCTAAGCCTTATTTCATGACATTTGGAAAATGGGACTCCACCAATAGAAACTACAGAATTGTACAAGCAAACATTTGATTTAGTGTTGGATAATTTTCTTCATTATTTACCCGAGTCAATATGGTGGTTGTTCTAAAGCTTAGTAATGATGCAGGAATGACATGGCTGACAGTGTAATAGCTTCCTGCTACCACCCAGTGAACCCCTTGACGAACAGTGCCATTGCAGCAGAGGTAAGGCATAGATTCTTGAGCAACGAGACCACATTGGCATTTGGCGCCCAGCATGCAGTGTTTCCTTTTACATTGGTCAAAGCTCGAGTGGATACCAATGGCAAGTTAGGTGCCCTCATTCAGCAGGAGCTGTTGGACACATTCTTTCTAACTCTTGATGGACAGGTGGATGTTAAGGCTGTGACAAGAAGTGCTAAGCTTGGACTCTCCGTGGCTTTTATGCACTAAATCAATCCCCCAGAAACTAATACCAATAAAAATCGTTTATCCTAATCTATACGAATACTGTAATCTTTGCAAAATCATGGAGCATGAGCTTAGTTTTAGCCTCCTTTGTTCATTTTCAAATTCTCATCGACCTTTTATGAAGGTTGGGGCAAGCAAAGAATTGAACTTTATATTAATCTCGAGTTGGACTATTCACTCCTTTTGAAATTTCCTCTTCAAATGCAGATTTAAAGAATGTTTAGATCTAATTCTGTAGTCATCTCTAGTGTGTAGACATCAAGCATATTGTTTCTTGACTGGCAAGACCACAATTTTCTATCCAAAGCATAAATTTGAATATGCTTTGCAATACAAAAATCATGCAAATGGTCCTCCCTTCCGCAATATCAAGTGTTTTGGTCATATACACCCTAGAAAACTAATTCTGTGTATACAAATAAATCTAGGGTGAAGGAAAAGACAACAAAACTCATATACACATTGCATGCAACATGAAAAGAGAGGGGAAATAGGAGATGAGTAAAGAGAAATTGAGCAAAAATATGTGTGTGTCTGTGCAACCAGACAATGGAAAAAAGCCTAACTACAATAACTAGCTGTCCTGTTTGTTATGATAAAACAGTTGTTATTGGAGCAAAACATTCAAAATTTATGTCTGACGGTTGAGGAATGAGCCTTTAAACCACGTGATAACACATGAAATAAAAAAAAAACTCCGGCTGCTAGAGATCGCTTTATAAAGGGCTTATAGAAATGGGAACAGGGCTCCAATTGTTGGTGTGAAAGTTTCACAAATAGATTACAGTAACTGTGCTATATCTCTCTGGCAAACTATGACGCGAAAATAGACATCTACAGCTTTGAAAAGGCTTTAATGATGATCACTGCTGAGATCTTTAAAACAGAAGAAAGCCAATTACTGTGTGAGATGTATGCAATAAATAACCTAAGTAGAGAATTCAATACTATAAGATCATGAGAATAAACATACAGAACTGCTACAAGGGAGACACCTTTCTGCTGATTATCTGATAGTTTATGCAAGGAATGAAGCCTAGTCCGAGAGCAATGCATGCAAGTAACAGAGGTGGCATTGATCATGGGCAAAACTTCATTCCTAACATCAAACAATCATCGGTGCCTCAACTGTCTCCTTGGCATTAGGGGTTCCCACCACGCCTATTGGGAGAATGAGATTCATGCTTTAAACAAATTCTATACCAGAAAAGAGTTTGGCTTACTAGTTCTACACTGAAAACAAGATCTCATTACTTTTTTATATACTTCAAAATACAATTATTGTCTCCTTTTCGGTTCTTTGATGGAAAGAGAGAACGTTGGCTAGTTGAATGTTAGGTGCTATTCTCTAATGCCATTGGTGTCGATGAGGAGATGAGCAAGAGAACAAGAAATTGGGCCCAAGGAGTGATTGAGATATCAACTTGGAGAATCTGATGAAGTAGTACAAGATACTACAGAAACCTTTACCTCAGAGAATTGCATAGAAATGACAAGCCAAAGAATCAGTCCCTTTTATAATGTTCATGTTTCATTCTAAAATGCTAAATTCCAATCAGTGAAAAAACAAATTATGGCTCAATGTATTATCATCTGCATCGATGTCTTACTCTTCTCTCCTTTTCTTCTTGCCTAGTGAAAACCAAAAAATAAAAATAAAATAACTTCTAATGTAGAAACCCTTAGTGGGGTCCATTCCACATCGCCGAGAAGAGAGAAGCAAGTGCGGCTAAGAATGCTCCATAAGTCATCGTCCACTCAGCAATCATCTGGATGATATGGCTTTATGAGTCTGGCTTTTGCAACTTACTTTCCCTTGTGTAGATGAAGATGTATTATAGCATTCACCTTCAGTAAACCAAATGTCTGGTTCTACTTCCTAATCGCATCTGTCAAGCATCATAGTTCTTCAATTATGTGCCAAATTGCCCGGTTTTTAATGGTGATATCAATGCTGTGATGTTGTTTTATAACAATCTTTTCTATGTTAAGTAGTATGGCCTTAAGGGTGGTTATAAATTTACAAGAATAATAATAGCGATACACTTTCAAGTCTCAAGCAACCAATGTGTGTATCAGAACTCATCCGGTGGGGCAAAACTCGAAGGCATGGCTTAGGAATGGGATTTCCTCTGCAAGTCAGAAACCCTGAAGTTCATAACTGGCGAAACAAGCATGAGCTCTTCCTCTCGGAAAACTACCAATTTTAGTCACAGCCTTACACCACCACAAATTCATCAAATTAGAACGAACGTCTGATCCATGACTGCAGCTACCACTTGACCACCACCATCAACCACCAGAGTGCTTTATTGTTTACAAAGCACTCATTAGTTGCAAATTTATCATACCTGAACAGTCACCAACTATCCCAATCAGTCATATGAGATTGCTTCGATTTGAAAACTTCAGCTGTTGCGGATTATTCAACATATTACCATAAAAGGATGCATCATCTATGAAACAGAACCATCTCATAATTTTCATAGTTATATGTACAGTGCTAGGTTTTGTCTGGATGACAATCACCATGAGAGCAAAATCAAACACACCAACGCCTTGTAGGGTATATAAGAGTATAAAACTTGTTTCAAACCAACCTTATAAAAGCAAGAAAATCAATGATGGGTTGAAGCCTGAAGAAGCCCATCACGGATCTGGGTAGCCACATCACGAACGGCCCCTGGCCCATGGGGAATGAACACAGCAGAAGATTTACTCGCAGCGCCAATGTCCTTCATGGTGTCAAAGTACTGGGTGACAAGGACCATGTCCATAACATCTCTTGCACTAGTTCCGGGCACATTAACTGAAAAACCTAGCACACTATCTCTCAAGCCATCCACAATTGCTTGCCGCTGGCGAGCAATACCCAATCCTGAGAGATATTTAGACTCAGCCTCACCTTCAGCTCGCTTGATTTGCAGAATTTTTTCAGCCTCTGCCTTCTCATTTGCTGCCAACCTCAGCCTTGCAGCTGGAGAAACATTAGTTGACAATAATTGGTGAATTTAAGATATTTTTAGGACATGAGCATGAATGATTTTTACAAATATGTCACAACCAGAGTTACCCAATTTAACATTGTTTTGCTAGCTAAAATTGTATTCCAGGACAAGAAACTTGCTCCCCAAGAAAAAATGAATATCATTTTCTCAGTTAAGTCAATTCATTACAGGTCTGATCTACTGTTCTTAATAGCTAATGTGTTATTGCATAGTACAGTGGTAGAAGTGTTGGGCTAAAAACCGTGTTCTTAACAGCCAAAGTGTCATTACTTAGTACAATGGTAAAAGGGTCAGACTAAAAAAAGCAAATTTGGGTTAAAACAGCCATCCAAAGATTAGGTTTGTACCCAATCCACCCCTCCCAACACCCTTGGTTAGTGAGAACCAAATTTGGAAGACAAGAATGTGCAGGCAGCAGCAAGCAGAAATTACCATTTGGTGGGTTTTTCACATTGGGTATTTTCTGTGGCCACTGGCCAAGAGTTTATTAGTGAAAACTAAGGCAAAACAATAGGATACACAAGATATTAGACATATGTAATGTCATATCACTCTGCAATCTGCAAAGCCTTAGCAATGGAAAGACCAATCAAATAAGAGATTCTGTGGGCTTTACCTGCATTGATTTCATTCATTGCTCTCTTCACGTGCTCATCTGGTTCTATATCAACAATCAGTGTCTGAACAATCTCGTACCCATATGCAGACATGGCCTGTAAGAAGTTACAAAACAACCAGCATTTCAACCAAGTCAAGGATCAGGCTTCACAATATCAAATCACAACCTATGTATTCAACTATGTTACCTTTTCAAGTTCGTCTTCAACAGCCTTTGCAATGTCATTTTTTTGCTCAAAAACATCATCCAAGTTGAGTTTTGGAACACTTGCTCTTATTACTAAATCAATGGACAAGGCCAACCCAGATCAGGTTATTATGTTTATTGTATGAACATCAGTATGCTAATTTCCATATTTCAACAGTCATTTTTAAGTTTGTACCATCAAAAACATATGCCTGGATTTGAGTCCTTGTGTTGCTGAGTTTGTAGAAAGCATCGCTTGCCTTTTCTGCCAGGGCACGGTACTGTATTGATGCTACAACATTGACAAATACATTGTCCTGAAAATAGATGAACATGAAGGCCAACTATTTCAGTTCACTGCAATATCTTAACCCACTACTAAAAAGAGTACACGTCTGAGTAGCCTCAGCAGGGGTAGGAACAAACTATGTAAGGAAGGATTTTACACAACTACTTCATATCATATCAATAATTAAATTTTACATTCTAAAAAATGAAAAATGATGTAATAACTCCAAACAAGATTAACTGTTGGACAACAAGATAGACCTTTGTCTTGGTCTCGCAGCGCACATCCAACTGCTGCAGCCGAAGTGAGAGATGGCCGGACAGCTGACATCCAAATATCCAAGGAACACAATGGCATCCTGGTTCAAGTACTTCATAAAACTTGCCAAACTGCTCCTTAATAGCAACTGTGGATTGGTCGACTTGCACACAACATAAAAGGTTACCCATGTTCTGTAGAGAAAACACTAGAACAAGAGATGGTTAAGAGTTTTTGCTTTACAAGATATCCTGCAACTCAGCCATAATCGCCCATTTAATAAGAGAGTCATAAAAGGTTGAAATACTCGATCTACTACTAAAACAATTACATACACCAAAAAAGAAGAACACCCTCCAGCTTGAATAAAGATCAGCAGGGTTTCAAACTAAATCTCATGCTCCTTCAGTATATAGTGCAAAAAGCCACAAGTTATTCCCCCAAGGGCCAAGGGTGTCTAAAAAGGACAGTGAAATTTGGAGAAAGAACAGTGAAATTTGAAATACATTTCCACACGAAATCCAATTGATTTCGTCCGTAAACATTAAATCATCCCCTTCACAATAGTAGTGACTGATTAAAAAATGCTGGATGTATAAAGAATCGACAAAAAACTATTCACAATCTTTGATCTGATACTTGTATAAATCAGCATAACAACTTCTATAATTTAAATTTTATTGATTCATCAACAGTATTTAGATACTCCAAGAACTGTCAAAAAGGTCAACAGAAATCAAATCAAAAAAAAAAAAAAACTCAGAAGAACTATATATAGAACCTTTCATTCATGATTTGAATTCTTTTCTATAATAATGGGTAAAAAAAATTCCAATGCTATTAGAATTTTAAATCGTAAAACTACAGATTGAGGGCAAGAACATAACGTTTGAGTGGCATATTAAACATATTTATTTAAAAAATTGGCGTATTAAACATGCAATAATTCAAAAGAAACAGCCCATCAACCTGGGATTCAATTCACATGCACATATTGCTAACATAGATAGTTAGGCATTGAGAAACACTCAATATTCAACAAGCAAGCAAATTCGTAGAAAACTGAACAATTATCCAAGTAGGATAGAAGTGCAAGGGATAGGGAGAGGGAGAGGGAGAGAGACTTACGGAATGATTGAATCAATAAAGAACAGATATGTAAGATGGGAATGACAAAGCAAAGAAGGTAGAATATATACAGGACTAGAACAACTTGGTGTTGGAAACGGCCACTATAATACACTCAAATATCTTCTTTATATCTATTTAATTTATTATTATTGGGATAAAGATTACAAGGTCTTCCACCAAAAAAAAGTCAACAAAATAACTATATATTTTAATATCTGGAAATTAAAGTATATAATCAAGAGCATAAGCTCATATCTTATGGATAGATATCAAAATCAACTGAGCTGTCTCCACAGCAGCAGGTGAAAACTCTGAGAAGCTTCAGAACAAAAATGTTCTTCTCCAAGAAAAGTATTCTATTTTCAATAATGTATCCATATGCACGGGATAATTTCTACAATAGTATGGGACAGCGATCCCCAAGCTGGCGAACTTGAAACAACAGGGTCAAAAAAAAGGAGATCAGACGAACGTCTGGCTAATCCCCTCCGAAACTTAAGTCAGTATAAGGTCGAAGGGTTTTACTCAATAGACTATTTTTCTGGTTCAAGTTTGCGTATCTTTGTCCATTTTTCTGAGGAGTATTTATATTTGAATTAACAATGATTGCCAAAGATCTTCAGTCTCATCTGGGCATCTTACATCTGACACACCATTCCTCGTGCAATGAACGTTTTCTACTCACATCTCCTCCTATTGAATGCTAGGTAAATGGGGTAAATGCTCGGCCAAATGCCGAGCATTTATATCACTTCCCGAGTACCCAATCCCCCAGATCGGCATCTGACATCAACTAAGCATTAAATAATCGGGGAACAATTCCTCGGGAGAGCCGAGCGTGTCGTCTAGGCGCATCAGCCTTTAATGCTTAGCCATCATGACAATAGGCTTATACTCCTACAGGGCAGGTGCTGGCAGACGCACTTTTATTTGCCTTATCACTTTCACTCATTCTGTCATAAATAAAGGGTCACATCGCATTAAATTTGATGTCAGCTGTCGTACTCGACTGCTCCGTGTCACCATATCTCGGCTTACCTCCTCGGCACCCTTTATATATCCTAACGACTTCATTATTCCGCGTGTCAACCCGGAGACTGTAGAGCCACTTAGAGTCCCGCCACCATATACACATATACATTAAGCATAAGATGACAAGTAAACTGTCATGAACAGGTTATGAAACAAGGAACAACAAGAATTAGATAGACAAAATTCCAAAGGCCAACTCCCCCTTTGTACTACCAAAAAATGAAATTCTTGTCGGATTGGAGTTTGCAACTCCAACCGTTGACAAACTAATACCTGTTCCGTTTAGTACTTCAGGTGCTTCTGTTGCGTATAATTTAAATCCTGTTACTGATCAATTCTAACGTGTCTTTCAAACTATTACTTTTTGTAATCAACCCTATAATAACATATATGAACAAATGACAAAAGGGTAATTGTTTTCTTTCTAATAAATTACTGACAGCCAATGAATGAATGGTATATTTCATATTCTTGTTCATACTCGTGATCATTGGAATACAAATTCACCCATTTTTGGTAGGTTGATGAGTTTTAGTTCGAATCTGAAATGTGTATATAAGTTTATTTGCAGAGAGAAAATGAAATTAGAATGAAAGTTATGTTTTTTGGATTGTAGCAAAGCAAGTGGAATTAAAAACTCGTAGCGAAGAGGAGAGGAAATTTACCCAAGAACGGAAGAAGTCTACTTTTCTGTTTATCGTCTTCGAAATTGTGGGATATGTTCGGGCAATTTCAAGATAAGAGTGAGATTGGTACGGTCTATGATCATTTGGGCGAGCACCCCCTAGTTTGTTGTTTTACTGTGGGTTGTTGTCAAGTGGGGCCGGCCGGCAGTTTCAAGGTTGGGTTGATCAAAGCTGGATTAGAAAAGACAAATTAATTAAACCCAACTCTTCATGCACTTCGTTGAGACCAACCGTAAATTTAAGTATTTTGAAATTGAATTTTGACAATATTTTGAGTTTAAATTATGAAAAATTAATTCTTCATAAATATTTTAATATAGATGTGAATGACTTATCATTTATAAGACCAGGTGATGGAAATCATGTATGAATTGAATAGATATTTTAGATTAATCATTAGAATAATTTAGTATTTAATTTTTAAGTATTTTTTTAACCTTTAAAGGTTTAATTGTCATTTTGATTATTTATTTATTTTAGGGTTTGTGATCTCCTTATATATATATAGGATTTGTGAACTCCTTATACATATAAAAAATATAATTTTTGTTTTGGTAGATTTTGATTATTGATTATTAATATTGAATCTTCTTCTTAAAATTTTCTTTCTATTTTTATATCCTTATTCTTCTTTTCTCATCACTTTCTTCTTCTTTTCTCATCCCTAATTCTTCCCTAATACGATCTACATCAATTTGGTATCAGAGCTAATACAATCTACATTACCAGGAAGGAGGATTAATTGATGTGTGCATAAACTAATTCGAACACCCTTTACTATTAAATAAAAAAAAAAAAAAAAGATAACTAATTTAGTATATAATTAGTGGGTTTAGTTTTAATTTTGAGAGTTAGGATTGTAAATGATGAAATTGTAAAATTTCTCAACTTAGTTTTGTTGTGAGAAATGGGGAGAGGGTATGATTCTGGAAGGGCTTGTGGTTGGGGAGTCAATCTTATCTCGTTTATTTCCTCAGCTTTATAGCCTTTCATGACATCATCATTTTTCTATTGCATCATTGGTTGGATTTTTTTCTAATCCAATTTCATGGGACTTCGGTTTTTGTAAGAGTCTTAATGATAGGAAAACTTCACAATTAATCTTACCTTTTTCTTTAATTGGTAATATAAATTTGCATCATTGAGTTCACTAACAAAAGAAATTGGATCATTGATTCAACGGGCTTGTTCTCTTGTAAATCTTACTTTGATTCTTTGATTGATGACATTACTCTCCCAATTTTTTATCCAACTTTGAAGATATGGAAGGCTAAGAGGCATTTGAAAGTGCAAGTTTGTGTATTGGTTATTGCTCATAGAAAGCTTAATACTAATGATTTGCTTTAAAAAAAGAAGACTTCATACTTGTCTCTCCCCTCAATGGTGTGTTATATTCAAGAAGGATTGCAAGAATGTGAACCGTTTGTTTTGGCATGGTTCAATTGCATTGGCCTTATGGAATAATTTGGTTGAAATGGCAGGGCTTTCTTGGGTGGTTCTAAATTCAATCTCAACTATGTTGTGTGGATTATAAAGGATTTGAAAGGAAAAGTAAAGGAAACACTTTGAGAATGTGTTTTTTTTGCAATTTTTTCGGTGATTTAGTTGGAGAGAAATTCAAGAATTCATAAGTTTTTGATGGACTTTGGAACCGATTTCACTTATTAGCAACTTTTTGGGCGTCAACTTCAAAGTAATTTGCAAATATCCTTTGACTTGTGATTGATTTGTTTGTTTTTTTCTCTATGTACTGTTTTTTATGGTTTGTATCTTGGATGAATTACTTGTCCATCCATGAATTTCACTTGTTACATTAATTTTTCTATGTACTGTTTTTAATCTTAGCTTAACATTATAAATTTTCTTATTACACTCTAACTTTAGTGTTTATGTTTCAATGTTGGTCCTTGAAGGATAATTTGGCTACGCAACATTTGTTTGTAAAAATAAAACTTAAAATAAAAATAAAACTCATAAATCAATAGTCCACATGTAACGCATATTTACACCAACTAGTAAAATAAAAAGTTCTATAAGAGATGCTCTTTATTATTGATCGAGACAGGAAAACCCATGGATCAATATATTTTGGCTTGTGGCCAGACAATGGGCCAAAATACTATGGTCTACCTAAGTTTGTTAACGGATCGGATATGAATCAGATTTTGGTATATCCAAACTCGAATCTGATTAAATATTCTACTAATTCGATTCAATTATCTAACAGATTCGAAAAATTCAACCCATGTCCAAATTTATTAATTTTTGGATACACTATCCAAAAATCAATTCTGATTATCACAAAAAACACATGGACACTAAAAAAATAACAATAAGGATTT